TTTCATTGCTTTTTAGACATTCAGCAGCCGTTTTTAATCCAAATATAACGAATATATTTAACACTTCTCAATTCTCTACAACTTTCCAACAACTCTCTAATGAACTTTATTCCCTTAAAACCTCTACAGCTTGTTCGAATTTGCAAGAGGCGTAGGTCACATTGGTGGTTATCATGGTGATGCCTGCTGCGATATTCCTTTGCTAGACCTCATTTCCAATCCGTTCTTCGCGTCGGCATCTACTGTCGCACACCGAAGCATTCTGTGAACAGGATTTTGAAGTCTTCTCCTGCTCGTCTTCCTTGTCAATCCCCCGCTACCAGCAATTTGTATTATATTGCCAGCTGGCGTGTCAGGAGGTCTAATCGCGGCGGCGCTGGAGCAAGGTCTGCCATGCGACGTGAGACAGCAGTCATAGCTTGCGACATTGTGTACAGAAAACTTAGAGTCTGCGAAATTGACACGACACGTACAGTCTCTCAAAACCCTGTTGCGGAGAGCGATTTTATGAAGGATGTTTGCCAGGATGAAAATCGTGTCGAGGACATGGTCACATCAGAGCCCCCCCCCCCACCCCTAAAATCTCGGTCTTGATACGACCCTCTAACTTTGATTTGATGTGAATAAACGAGTTGCATTATGTGTACAGCAAGTATGCAGTTGCAGCGCGGTTTATCCTTGGGTCAGATTTGCTGAAACCTCCGCTCGAAACCATCGAAATCTCCACCCTCGAGAAAAAGGTTGCATTCCCTCTTTTACCTCTCTCAAAATTTTTGTCGAGTCAGCGTCGAGGATGCTGAAATTTTCATGCGAGTTTTTGCCACTTAAAAGGCAATATCTCTCTAATTCCCTGAGAACTTGAAGAAGTTTTGGAAAGCGGAAGGTTGCGCTTTCTGATGTCTTCTTAGCTTTCTTTTCAAATTCGTAATGAAGAGATATCTGCCGTCGAGGATCTATACGAAAACGTTTATGACACTCGCAAAAGCGCTCTTCTTCGCACTAGTTAATTCGTTGGCAACTCTCAAAGATGTGTCTAGAATATATTTTTCCGAACGTGAGCGCAGAGAAAGGGGCCATCGTCATCGTCCGATTTCTCGTCCCAGTATAGGCCATGCATCCGACAAAAGTTGCAGAGTCGATTGGTGTTATAATATGATGATGACCAGTTGACATGGTAAACACATTTCGGAACCCCTATGATTCAAGGAACAGCTTCATATGCCAAGGGTCTTTCCTTCACTATTGCCGTTTTGGCGACAGCGTTCATAATAACAGTGTCATTCTGAGGTGTTAAGAGGGAAGGGAGCGAAGGCGGAGATAGATGAGATCCTTAGAGATACACTGCGTTCAATAATGATACAGCCACCTAAAATTTGTTCGAAAACTTAAAGTTCATAGTTTCTGAAAAACTGTCCAGATAGAAAATGTGACAAATTTCATGGCGAGTTCAGATATCAACACAAAAATCCATGTTGAAAACACTAAAAAATTTTGTGCTTATTTTTTCAGAAGAGGTCGATTTTCCTATGTTCAAAAATGATACAGCCACCCCGTGTTTCTTCGTTGAAATTCATTTTTGCTTCATGAAACTGATTCGCAGTTATCAGGCTTTCACCTTAATGTTCCCACAAGATAAAAAAGACAGTTTAGTTTTGAAAAAGGTAAACTGTAGCAAAAAAGGACCAGGAATCGTCAAGCAGTCATATTGCGCAAAAATTGAGTCAAAGCTCCAATACGGTTAACAATCTTTTCTGGAATCCTGTAGGTTATGGAACAAAGAAGAGCTCTGGATGTTATCATTTTTTGAACATAGGAAAATCGACCTCTTTGAAAAAATAAGCACAAAATTTTTTAGTGTTTTCAACATGGATTTTTGTGTTGATATCTGAACTCGCCATGAAATTTGTCACATTTTCTATCTTAACAGTTTTTCAGAAACATTTTAAGTTTTCGAACAAATTTTAGGTGGCTGTATCATTATTGAACGCAGTGTAGATAGAGGCGCATGTGCACATGTGACCCTTTTCCCTGCAGAGGATGCACTTTTATTCTCTGTACTGCTTTCAAATAAATCCTTCTCATAAAGGAAAGGAATGGAGCGACTGAACCTGCAGAGAACATTTTATACCATGTTTTTTCACATATCACATCTCCTCGTTCTGCTGCGCTACAGCTCTATCTATCTTCGTACCTCATGCCCACTGCGTTACTGATCCCTAGCAGTCTACGACCCTTCCATGACCGACCATGACAAAAAATCCCACAACCCCCTGTCGAGAATTTCCTCGACCGATATCCACCCTGATATTCCTACGCTTTACTACACAAGGAAAATTCTTGGAGATTCCTTCCAGGGATAACTTTGGCAAATAATGAAAATGGTTTGAGCTAGCGTTCTCAATTAAGTCTCATATAGTGTGCAATCCTGTTCTGGATAATCACTGTCTTCTAGTATTCCTTTCTCGTCGGTATAAGTAGTGACTCTTCAAACTTTTAAGAAGTTATTTTTGCACACTAACTTTGAGTACAAGTACCGCAGCAGCAAGACCTCTACGACCAACAGTCGACATGGCGCTATCAATAGCGAACGTCGTCAGCTATAGTGACTACCTAGAAAAAATTACTCAATTGAAAAATAATAATTAAATTTGATTTGCGTTTTTTTTAAAGAAAAACACCCACCCGTACATTATGCCCAGCCGCCTTGTATCGCTCCGCAGCCAGGCCAAAGTTAAGACGATCACCGGTGTAGTTAATGATGAACAGAATGGAACCTCCTGTATATAAGTCAAAATAACTACGAGATAGTTGCCGTGGTTGTTTCAAGTCACTAGATGAAAGGATAAAGCTTTCACCGTTGATCAATTCTGTCTTGGCATGCGGCACGCATTCCACTTCTCCTTGTACATTCGTAGTGGCGTTTGCATGCGCGATGCGGCCTATGACAATGACTTGCGGGGGCCAGCCGAATGGGGCGACGGACTATACAATCGTCGGCTAATGAGGTCACGCCGCTCACGCGGCGAGAATCGTCGCGTGCGGCAGTTGCTGCGGCGATTTCTGTGTGGACCTTTTCTTATCCATCCATGCCCATAAGTTGGCTAGGTGACTGATAACACCAGAGTGCTGGACATCAGTAAGCCAGCAAGCGTCACTGTAAGATCCCTGCAGTGATTTAAGCCTCGCAGTACAAACTTTGTACCGTGTAAAGGTTGTCCTTTTGGATTTAATTTGACTTCTTTATTAATCAGTTTCCTGAATTTCTATCAGAGAGTGATAATCTGGTTCAATCGGAAAGAATATTGCGTATCAAGACACAGAGTAGCGGCGAGGAAGGCTCTAACATAAGCATGATATGATAAGTATGTAATAATGGCGAGCGAAAACGAAACTGCATTTTAAAGGGTAAGGTGGTTCCTATTTCATGTTTCATGACTGGGAAACATGATCTAATCTTACATTCTCCAATGTTTGGATGCTGAGTTCTTTGCAAATTCGCCGCGATATTGCTGGCTGCGGCGGCCGGCGCGGCGACCTACTTACTGCCACGATTGTATAGTCACGCACCCCAGCTTCGGTACAAGTCAGTGTTTTCTATCCACCCAGACAGGGTCAACCGTCCGTTGGACTTTGTCCAACGAGGGGGTGGGGGTCGTATTTGGGGGGTGGAGAAGAGGGGTCGTATTTCGCGAGGTAGCGTCAATGTTAGAGTAAGGGAAGGGACGGGATTTTATGGAAGGGAGAGCGTATTAGGTTGTTGGCTGGGATTTTGAGTGCGAAAATATACCCCCCCCCCCGCTCGACGGCAATTTGGAGGATGGTTCGTGAAGGGTTAACCCTGAGGGGGGGTGGTTCGTATCGAGGCCTTCTAAGAGGGGGGAGGGGGAAGGGTCATAGAATTTTCAAAATAGGTCCAACGTAACGGTTGACCCTCCTCCCAGACAAGTCTGGTACCACCCACAGCAAGCGTGCACGCGCAGAACTGGGCTGTGCCGACGGCAAGTTTCAGGTCCGGTTATACATAGAAGAGCCCGAAGATCGAAAAAATGGGTAAAGGTGTGCACTGAGTTGATTAGTCCAATTAGGGAGAACTGCCCACGGTGGGCGGAGCGTTCTCTGAATGGGCGGCGCTTGATAAAAAAAATCATAGCTCGGTTAGGAGAGCCAATGGAGCAGGACAGACAGGCCTAGGAGACCAATATATGAGGTGTTTTCAGCACATCTGAACTGAGCGAAAGCCCACCCACAGTAGGCGGAGCATGTCCTCAAGTGAGCAATGTTTATTACAAATCTTCATAATTTGGCACCGAGATGGCCTAAAGACCGAAAAAAACGTGGATAGAGGTTAGAAGAGAAGGAGTAGTTAAATGTTGGTGCTAGGCGAGGGTGCATCAAAGTAGGCGAAAATTCCCACCAGATTGATAAGTAGGTTCAAAGAAGACTTGAGACTGGGAAAAAAGTGAAATGTTTAGTAAAGAAACGGAGGCCACCCACTACAGATGGGCGTGGTGCGCCGGTTCGGGCAGAGTTTGCCATCGAATTTTTAATTTTTTTCAAGAAGTCCTGGACTCCCGGGAAAAAGTGGATAGTCTGACAGTGGAAGAGAGGCGAACAGAGGCTCTCCCACTTCCTTCACGATTTGGGGCGCGGCCGCGGCGAGCGCGGACGAGCCACAGTGCCGCGAACTGTGGTGTTGGAGGTTTTAAGGCCGATGTCATAGTTTGCGAATCGAGCGATTCGCTAGCGAATCGCTCGATCCGAGCGTTGCGCCAGCGAATCGAACGTTGCACCAGCGAATCGAACTTTGCGCCAGCGAGTCGAACGATGTACCAGCGAGTCGAACTAGGTACCAGCGACTCAATAGTGGCGGGACCCAACGTTTAAAGGAAGCCCGCCACTTTCAAACAGTGTCCACTGCAAAGTCCCGCCACTTTCAAACAGCGTCCACTGTCACGTGACACTGTTTGAAAGTGGCGGGCTTCCTTTAAACGTTGGGTCCCGCCACTATTGAGTCGCTGGTACCTAGTTCGACTCGCTGGTACATCGTTCGACTCGCTGGCGCAAAGTTCGATTCGCTGGTGCAACGTTCGATTCGCTGGCGCAACGCTCGGATCGAGCGATTCGCTAGCGAATCGCTCGATTCGCAAACTATGACATCGGCCTTACACCCGCACAGTTCGCGGGCACTATCGACTCGGCCGCGGCGAGCACGGCCGCGCCGCAAATCGTGACGAAAGTGGGAGAGCCGGCGAACAGCTGTTGGCTGGTGGGGCGTGCACCACAATGGGTGGAGTTATCCAAAAAAACCTTATAACTCGCGCCCAAGAAGTCCTGGGAAGTGGAAAAGTAGATAGGGTCTGAAAATGGAAGGGAGGTCAATTGCCATTGGTGGGTGGCCGCGGTGGGCGGAGTCTGCCACCAAGCTCCACAAAGCTATCGTTTTATACCATTGCGTCCCGTGCGAGGCAAGCGAATGCACAGTGCGCGAGTGAACTTTTATATAATAACAAATGTGCGCATTCTCAGAACGATTTTTATTGGGAAGACAAGAAAATTCGAAGAGATTTTTCGTTCCCCTAGCTTTGGGAAGTTACGATACGGCCTCTCGGGTTCTCGAAGCAAAAGAAGTTACGCTCTGCGAAAAGCGAAAAAGTCGCGCCCTGTTACCATAGAGGCGTACCCCTATAATAACAGCCAGCTGACGTCAGGTCGCTGTCATTGTGGCTCGTGAAGGGGGGTGGGGTGAGAAACAGCTGTAAGAGTATTGAGTGCAAACATATTTTACCTTTCGTCGTTGTTGAATTCAAGGCCGCACTGACATGACGAGACGGCGGAGAGGCAAATACATTACCAGATACAGCGGCGGTGAGCATTCCAGGACCATATAGCCTGGAAAGTAATTATTACATTGCATTGTTAATTGACAGAACATATGAAACAAAAACTGTTCGTTGTTTCATGACAACTCTCGAGCTCTTTTAAAGGAGTGCGCTTGCATCAAGTGCGCTTGCATCAAAATAACTCAGCGGCGGTCCGCTAGGGCAGAAAGCGGTTTCTTTTGCAGCGAGAAACATCTTTCGCTGCGAGAACCCTAGGTCCACTTTTAATTTGTGGAGGATCTAAGATTCTTGCAGCGAAAAGTTTCGCGCTGCGAAAAGCGGAACAGTCGCTTTCTGTCCAAACGAACCAGACCTAAATAACACAACCAGATTTTTCACTCGTTGCTGTCTAGACGTGAAGAGCTTCGGTATACGTCTTAAGAGTGCTTCGCTCAGAAAGAGAAATGATGTTTATTTTTTCAGTAGCTAGAGGATTGCCATAAAAGGGTGGACGGCACTTGGTTCGACTTTTTTGAAGATTCCAGTTCTCGGGGAAGAATCCCTGGCGCAATGTGGCTCGGAGGGGGCCAGTCGCCGCGCGCGGCTCAGCGATGTAGTGTAACTCGAACATTCCAGCTTCTCACGGAACATTCCAGCTTCTCACGCATGCTAAGTGACTGCCCTCACCCCCACCCCCTGAATTGGCTACATTCCCCCTGGCTCACGAATTTCCTGTTGCCGCACGCGCCGCGCGCGGCGACTGCCCCCCCCGATCCACATTGCGCCGAATCCCTATTTTCGACGGGGTTCAGAAACGTCTGCTGTATTTTTGTGTTGCGTGCATATGCTACAGCACGCCAATGTTTAGAAAGACACTGCGCTCCGCCTTTCTGGCAAGACGTGATTCAACTATTTTGGGTGCGCGGTCTATACGACGAGCATTTTGACTAATCCTGACGCAGAGCAAACCGGCTTACGGTGCGTCACAGCCCACCCAAATGCCACACAGGTATCGATGAGACCATATATTGCCTACTGGCTTCTAATCGCTGACTTACCTGCAGCGTATGGCTCGTGACCCGATCCGCCGCCAGCTATGAGTGTCACCATGCCCTTTGCGCAGTAATCAGAGTAGTCGGCTCGCAAAGCTACGCGGCGACAGTTCTATAATCGATAAAGTATGCGGTGGAGCATGCATTTCCAAAATGTTTCCTCTAAATAGACTTGCACATCAGTCAGCCAGTATCGTGCCAATTGATTTCAGACATCCTTGAAGGAGCCCTTCATACGACTCCTTCCATTGTCGGTGGTCTCGTTGAACCTACCGTAGGTTAGTATACCACCCAATGAAATCGGCGCTAGTCATATGGTCCGGAGGATGTCATGGTAGACTCTCATGGATTCAGCGAGGAACCGTATTTGGTTTGATGC